ATTGCTCTCATGCAAGCAATCTGCCTCTCTCTCCAGGTAATCATGTTAAGATATTTTGATGTTGAAATAACATTATTTTTGTCATCTCTAGGCACACTTTTGAAACTCAGGCCATCTGCAACTTGAGGGACTACATTAAATAAAATGTCAACAATCGGGCTTCATCATTTTGTGTTTATCCGGCATCGCTGTCTTGTTGTTGCAGCACTCCCACACTTAGCACCTAGCCTAAACAAGGTTTGCCTACGCTTCCAACACTAAGGATCTACACCTATTTCCCTGCCTGTGCTTATCCCCAAACAGCGTTGTTCCATCACGATCAGCAAACTCGCCAGCCTCCGCTGCCAAGCATAACTCGTCTCGTCATCCAGCATCGACGCCTGGGCACCTCTCCAGCAAGGCCCAACACCACAAGTGCCACTCCATCAGCACCTAACAACTGGGTTACCTGACCAGCACGCCCGCATACAGCAGCGGCGCCCAGGGCCTTGAACACAGCTGGTACGCCTAACTGTCCCTTTTTACTCACTCGTAGCATAGGCGTTCAACGCCTGAATTGACACAACAACCCTTCTGCCCGCCTGGCCTGCTAGCCTTACCTACACAGTGCTAGCCCCAGCCGCGCGCCCAGAGGTTGCCTCCTCTACGTGCCCCAACGATGGTTTCCTCCTTCAGCTCGCCTAACTGCCTGTCTAGCACAACATGAACGCCTATCTCCTTGGTCAGCTCGCCCAAGGCCTCAAAAGGCGCGCCCACCTCCATGGTCAGCTCGCCCAAGGCAGCCCCAGGCTATCCCAAGACGCCCAAGGTGGCCCCAGGCTCACCCAGAAGCTGCTGCTCACCAAAAATCGCGCCCCCAGCACTCCTGCTTGTTATTTTGACAGTAAATTTTTGCTTCGTAACTCCAAACAGGGATATATTATATCTCAAATCAAAACTTTCGGCGAGCCTTATAAGACTCACAACCTTAAGTTGTGACTGATTGTGTAAAAAGTCCAAAAAAGGCCCAGAAGCAGAAGTTTTGGCCTCCCGAAATTTTTTTTAAAAAAAAATTTGCTTGCTCGCCCAGAACAGTACTGCTCGCCTAGCTCTTTGCTTGAAGTTTTAATCGTAACTTTTACTTCGTTATTTCAAATGAGGTTTATAGTATACCAAATCGAAGCTCTCGGCGAGCCCAACAAGATTCACAGTCTATGGCTTTGACTGATGCTATAGAAAGTCCAAAAAAAGTTTGGAAGCAAATATTTTGGCCTCCCAAAGTTTTCCAATTATATCAGTCAGTCGAAAATTTGAACTTAGTCGAATGTCCTCCTTTCCAAGTTCCATTAGACACAAGGCATTAGGAGGCAAATGATGAGTCAAACTCAAGGGCTCAACTCATGTTACAAGCCCAAGGGCCCAACTCTAAGAGGTCCAGCTAGCCAAGCCCAAAGGAGTCTACACCCGGATAACCTCACCAAGGTCAAGGAGCTACATTAGTATGGGGCATGCAAGAGTCATCCAAGAGCCTCCTCTACCACATTGGAGTAAAGGTCACCAGGAGCCTCCCCCTCGCCGCCTTGGAAAAAGTCAACTCTCACCTCATCCTTTGATCGAGTTTCATAAAGAGCACCTCAACCGCTTCGCTCGTTGAGAAGAAGCTGTCAACTCCACCAAAATAGTTATTTAGTTGCTATTAAGCCCCTCCAATCTGTTAGGGGATAACTATAAATTGTAAGCCCCACCAGCACTTGGGGGGCAAGATCACCACACTCTCACTTGAGCACGACTCTCTCCTCTCTCTCTCAAAGCTTGTACTCTCTGCACTTCAAGCACTCCTAAATTAATAAAGTATCCGATGACCCAAGTCATTCAGAAGTGGACGTAGGTCACATTGATTGAACCACTATAAATCTCGCATTCTCTCTCTATTTTAATTATTGCATTTATTACTCATACTTGACAAGTGATGTGCAAAACTATTTTGTACATCATCAGTTTACATTTGCTTTTAGTGTTAAATGTTTTTCAAAAATTTTTACAAACAAGAAAGAAAATACTCTAATTGACATACAAAATTATATAAAAAGGATAATTTATTTTTCAAATGCATTCTTTATTTACCGAAATTATTGATACGTTTTATAACTGTTTCTACATAAGAAAATTAATAAAATTCTATTTAAGATGGACTATTTCATAAAAAAAATTTAATAGATTATTTATTATATTAACCAAACCTTATTATAAAAATTTAAGTAGTACTTTTTACATATCAAAAAACGAAAAAAACACATTTTAGATGATTTTTTTATTATTATTAATAAGTAAATAGGCCTCACTTATATTTGTCGTTTTAGGCTCTAAATTGTCTCGGGTCTCCCTTCGCGAGGGGATTGATTTAGATGTATATAAACTAGTCTGAACACCCCAAACTCTAATATAAAAATTAAAAAAAAAAAAGTCTCGCACCCATTGTTCTGGAGCAGCTACCCAAGTATGGAGCCATACACAACACACAGTCTGCAAAGTGCGAAAATATGTAACCAATTTTGCAGTGTGATTAAACTTTATAATAAAAAGTAGAACAAAAATTCAAGAACCTTAAAATAAACTCATTGTCTCCATGTAAAACTCCTGCCAAATCTAAACTTCTAAAAAATAACTTTAAAAATAACAATAAATCATTCGAAAGCCCAAGCATTCTTTTTGCGAATTTCTTCTTCTTCCTCAGGAGTAAAGTCGTTCTTGATATTGAATATTTTGCGAATCTCCTCCGGTGACTTACCCTTGATCATGTTTGCAACTTTTTCACATAAAATATTCAATAAATCCTTAATCCCGAGAAAGTTTGCAGCCATTAAAAGATCATAAAGAACCGTTTGATCTTCATCCACAAACTTAGAATCGAACTTCTTGAGATCCTCACTAGTAATAGTTTCATCAGCGTGTCTCTTGCAGTATTCGATCACTTTCACCAATGTCTTGCTATCCACATTTGTCAGTGGAATCGTGGTTGATGCACAATCGTCCTCAATCATGTGCTTGAGGGCTTGAGACTGTATAGCAACAGCCTCCTCGACCTCAGAGAGCACTCCATCGGAAGTCTTCAATGTCACCTTCTTCTCCGACGTCATGGAATGGTATTACAGTGACAAAGAATAGTAGAAAACTTGGGAAGAAATAAGAAGGGTATCCAGAGAGTTGGAATGTTGATTGTGTAGCAGGGTTTGAGAGACAGGGAGTATATATATAGTGTTGAGTGAATGGTACTTTCCTTGTTACGGAAGGAATATGATTGAAACTTCTAATATGATTAGGCTTCCAAGACTGTAAGGAAATCAACGTTCTGTTCTTATTTCCAAACTTCTGTGATGTGCGTTGATTAAATCTGCACCAGATCAATAAATTAATTACTACAAGCTCTTGATTAAAAAAAAAAAAAACACTTGCAATTTCCATTTGTAATACTCGTAAGTTGTAACAAGTCGTGTTGTGTTGGGTTTGTGTCATATTTAGATAGTGTTGCGTAAAAATTTGCTCAAGCCATGTTGTACCTATTTATAATCGTGTATAGCTTGGTTCATGTCATGTTTGTTACGTATTGTGTATAAGTTGTGTTTAATGTATTCGAGACTTATATAGTTGGATTCTTATTGATCTATGTATTTGATTAGTCTAGCAATTTTACCCCTTTACCTCGTTCTGCTGCTTAATGCTTATGCAACCTTTGGTATGCATAAATTACATTTCCCATTCGATGTCAAATTGATATACATTTGCATCTCGAGTTTTCGATGTCCTATGTCAATTGATAAATTTGAGTGTAAATAAATTAGTCAATTCTGGTTCAACTCAAATTCAATAACTCGATACCTAAATTCCAACGAATTTCAATTTTAATCAAAAATTAAACCCAAACTTTTAAGGATTAGCTACGCTAGTGTTCGAATTGAATATCAATTGAGGATTTTAATAATTTTGACCGAGTCTAATTGACAAAATCCGCATGAATCGCAATCTATTGGCCTACACTTTCATTCATCTATCAAATAATTTTTACAATTTTTTTTCCCTCTCTCTTGCAGAAAAATACACTATTCCATGTGAATATATGCATAAAAAAATAATGTTCTCGGCGTTTCTTAAATGCCTGTAATTTTCCGGTTGCCAGAGTCCGGCAAAAGGAGTGCTGGTATACATTTTTAAACGCCAAGAAATTTCTCGACGCCGATTTAGGTGGCTGTTTTAACAGCTAGGAAAGGATTTTACAGGCGTTTAGCTGCCTTTTCCCGGCGTGTGCAAACTCCGGTAATTCGTGATTTTGTTGTAGTGATATTTGGTTAGGGCCGGAGGAATATGGGATACAGTGAAAAATTTTTGGGCTTTGGCCAGCTTTTGCATGCTAAATGTTGTTACTCATTCGTCATGAAATTGAATCGACCAAGATCCAATTGATATATTTGGATTCAATCAAATAAGTCATGTTGACTCAAATTCAACCCCAATTAGTTCAATTTTAACTTGAACAGTATTCCAAAAGACCCGAACCCGATTGAACCGAAACGTAAATGGGAAGTTCAATTCTAGTTTTGTTATACAATTTCAAATTCATTTGTCCATAATTTGTTCAAGGTTCACCTCGCATAAGAATACATTTTATACTATGTGAAGTCTTGCTTTCAATTGTCTCGGCGTTGATGATTTATCTTTAATTGGATAGAAAATTAGATTAATCAAAGTGTTCGTAAATCAGCACGAATGCCCTTAACCGTAATAAAAAAAAAAAATGTCTCGCACCCATTGTTCTTGCGTAGCTACCCAAGTACGGAGCCCTACAACACATGGTCTGCAAAGTGCCAAAATATGCAAACAATTTTGCAGTGTGTAATGTTATTATCACAAAATAATATACCCTTTTCTTATTTGGTATATCCCTTGTGCTTCAAAACATCTTAAACTCACTATCTCTAAGTAAAACTCCTGCCAAATCTAAAAATCTAGAAAAGAACTTTAAAAAATCACTCGAAAGCCCAAGCATTCTCTTTACGAATTTGTTCCTCTTTCTCTGGGCTAAAATCATTCTCGATATTGAATGTTTTGCGAATCTCCTCCGGTGATTTACCCTTAATCATGTTTGCAACTTTTTCACACAAAATATTTAATAAATCCTTATTCCTGAGAAAATTTGCAGCCATTAAAACATTATAAAGAATTGCTTGATCTTCATCCACAAACTCAGAATTGAACTTCTTGAGATCCTTACTAGTAATAGTCTCATTGGCGTGTTTCTTGCAGTACTCGATCACTTTCACCAATGTCTTGCTATCCACGTTGGTAAGTGGAATTGTGGTCGATGCACAATCGTCCCGATCATGTGCTTGAGAGCCTGAGACTGTATAGCAACAGCCTCTTCGACCTCAAGTCTTCTTCTTCGACGCCATGGTATGGTATTACTGCGACAAAGAATAGTAGAAAACTTGGGAAGGAATAAGAAGGGTTTGGACTCTGAAGAGAGTTGGAATGTTGATTGTATAGAAGTGTGTGAGGTAGACTTGACAATTGTATCGAATGAAACGATTTTGTGTGGGATAAAACGGATTTATATTAAAATAAATTTCATTCATACCCTATTCATTTATATAAACGAGTCTAACTGTCACACTCATACACTATTCGTTTATTAAACGGGTTGCCTGATATAACCCGTGTGTCACTCGTTAAATAAGAGAATAAATTAAATAATTTCGAGTCCATATAAAAAATCATTAACTCGTCACACGTTATACATGTTTGACCTGTTTACTATAACAATAAATTATGACTGAGCAAAAAAATGAAGACAAAAAATAAATATTAAATGACTACTAAATTTAAATGATTATGAGATATGGTAGATGTGAGATGAGACAGAGGTTGAGAGACCTTACTTGGTTTTTAAAAATTTATTGTACCACTGTTAACGAATTAAACGGGTTGAAACGAGTTTATGGGTTAAACACGAAACTGATTCGTTTATTTCACAGGTCTGCCGAGTTAACCCATTAACCACCCGAATCCGTTAAACTACACTCAAACCCGCTAAATTCATGTCAGATTCATGCCGGTTTCACGAATTGTGTCTAAAATTGTCAAGTCTAGTGTGAGGGACTGGTTGTATATATATATAGTATTGGGTGAATGGTACTTTCCTTATTACAGAAAGAATGTGATTGAGAAATATATAAACTTCTAATATGATTAGGCTTCTAAGACGGTAAGGAAACCAGCGTTATTTTCCTATATCTAAACTTCTGTGATGTACCAGCCAAAAAAAAAAAAAACGTCTGTGATGTGTTTAGTAAAAAAAAAAACTACTGTGATGTGTGTTGATTGAATCTGCAACAGATCAATAAATTACCACAAGCTCTTGATAAAAAAAAACTTGAGTCTTCGCAAGTAGTGTCTCGTTGGTTTTGTGTCATGATTAGATAGTGTTGCGTAAAAATTTAATCAAGTCATATCATGCTCGTTTATCAGTAGGGTTGTCAAAATTTGACACGACACGATTAACAGACACGAATTAAACGGGTTTAAATGAGATCTTAACGGGTTTGAGTGATAAAAGGATTGACACGCTAAACATGTTTAATAAACGGGTCGTGTTCGGGTGAGACCTGTCAAACAGTTTATCACACGTTTATCCATTTAAATAAAATTAATATAATAATAAATTAATAATTATTTTAAAAAATTAGCAAGAAAAAAGAAGTAAAGAAATCAATAAAAAAAAAAGTAAAATAGTAGTTTAAAGACAAAGGAGAAAAGTTAGAGAACACTTCAAAGGTAAAGACAAATGTTTTTTGTTTTTATCCCACATTAGAAAATGAGGGGAGATGGGGAGGATTGAGTTGTCTATAAAAGATAATGACCTCTTGATTTTATTTTAAAGCCTTCAAGTCTTATTTTTCAAAGACAAAGGAGAACAGTTGTAGAGCACTTGAAAGACAAAAGTAAACCAATGTCTTTTATTTTTGTCTCACATTGAAAATGAGGGGAGATGGTGATGGTGAGTTGTCTATAAAAGACAATAGCCTCTTGTTTTTTTTTTTTTAACTTTCAAGTCTTATTTTTTATGAGATTTGATTTAAAATTCCTCTTTTTTGAGGTAAGTGCAATTAGTAGTAAAAAAAATAGAGTATTAAAATTTGTTGATATAATTTTTTTAAAATTAAACAGGTTAAACGAGTCATGTCGTGTTACTTGTTTATTAAACGGGTCGTGTTCGTGTTGAGATTTTTTACCCGTTTATTAAATGTATCGTGTATGAATTTATACGTTTTTCACCTGTCACCCGTTTAACCCGACACATAACTGTTTAACTACACACGATTGACACTCCTATTTATCGGGGCCAGAACTAGAAATTAGCTCAAGGGTGGACATTTTAACTAGGCCCAATTCTTACATGAAGTGATTAATGATTTCACAAAGATTATTCTAATTTTATGTATTTTAATAAAGTGGTGTAGATCATAAATATTAATTCCATTAAAACCTAAACCATCCATAAAAAAAATATTTTATAAAAAGTGTAACGTCAAAAATAAAATAAAATCTAAATGCAAATGAAAAGTATCATTACCAAAAATTATTATTTTTTTATTAAATTGTCATATTGAAGACAATCGCTCCTTACACTCGGTCATACACATATGGTTATATACTAAATAATTATATTTTTAATCAAGTGTCAATTTGAACAATATATTTGTCTCAATTTGGCCTTGGCTATAAATTTTTTTCCTTGACAAAAGTTTGACCATCTATATAATAAAGTAGCTTACAATTCAAATTTCAAAAGATAAACAAAATGACTTTTACTTTTCGCGGTTCAGATCTCTTCAAATTTTATTTTAAAGTTAATCTAACGATTAATATTAATACTCTAAATTTAATAGAAAAAATAGACCCCTAAAAGTGTGTTTTGAGTGATTTTTTACAATACTTCAATGAATTATTTCTCATAAGTACTTAAAAAAAAATAGTGTTTGAAATTGCCCCACCACTATCTCTACCACCACCGTCGCCGTTGCTGTCACCACCACCATCGTCGTCGCCACCACCACCACCACCACAACCGTCGCCACCGCCACCACGGTCTTTGTCACCACACCACAACTATCACCATTGTCGCCCACCACCTCTCACCCAATTACAATACGATGTTTAAAAATTTATTATTTATCTTTCCTCTATGCTTATGATTTAATTTTGAATATAAATACATATATGTTTATTATTTTTTATTTTTTATTACTATGTACCTTTAGGCATAGGCAATAACTAGTACATTTATATTAATTACATCATATCTGATATATAAAAAATTTCGAATTGAAAAGAATCAAAAGTTGATACATTTGACATACAAGAAGACAAAAAAAAAAAAAAAATTAATTACAACTCTTTCCAAAATGTGAGGCTATTACATATATTTATAGTTGGCTTTGGCGTGCTTTCATATTTTATATCAAAATCTTAATTTGGTATTATTTTAATAAAATTGAATGTTAATTGATGAATTGAATACTAATTTGATGAATGTCAATGTTAATTTGATAAAATGTAATACTAATTTAGTGCTAATTTGATGAAATTGAATATTAATTTGACGTGAATTTGATAAATTAAGTATTAATCGGATAAAATTAAAGATTAATCAAATAACATTAAAGGTCAATTTGACATTAATTTGATAAAATTATAGATTAATTTGAGTAAAGATAATTAAGTAAAATGAGAGTTCTAGTAAGGGTAATTTGTGAAAATAATTATGTATTCGATTAGGTCTGTTATCAAGTAAAAACTTATAGAGGTATACAATGATATTTTAAAAACTAGAGGGGTGCCAGTGAAATATGAATTAAATATAGGGGATTCAGTGAAATTTACCCTTTTTGCTTTTAAATAAAGGGTTAATTACAAAATGTCTCCTTTAAGTATGATTGAATTGTAATCAACTCCCTCTTGTTTTAATATAAATAATTTACCCCCTTAAAGTTAAAACATTTTTCATTTAAATTCTAACGTTAATTTCTGTAGTCAAATATAAAGGAAATGAGTCACAATAGCCTCGCACAATCTGAAACTCAATCAAAAATATAAACCTACCCTCATCTCTAGTTTTTTGCTTAAAAAACTCAAAAAAAAAAAAAAAGAAAAGAAAAAAGCCCTCCCACAACAACACAGCCACTGACCACCTATCTCCGACGAAATCTGTCCCCTCCCTCCGCAGCTGAGCAACCCAACAGGCAACAACCCCCTCCGGTTGTGCCCACCCTTGATATTTAATATTTATATATTTGTGGGCCTCTCTGGTTCTAAATTCGTAATTCAAAAGTAAAATTATTTGTAATTGGTTTACAATTGATCTCTAATTTTCTAAGATTGATTATTGACTTGTGTTAATTGAATTATAGAAGTATTACTACACTTACTTTTTGAATTTATATTTAATAACTTTGTGATTTAATTTCATAAAATTAACACTCAATTTTATCAACACCACATTAAACTCCATCAAATTAACTACCAAATTAATATTCAATTTGATCTAATTAACTATCAAATTTATTAAATTAACATTAAATTTCATCAAAGTAATACAAGATTTTACCAAATTATTGTGAGATTGATCTTAAAATTTATAAAATTATTATTTTATTTCAGCAAACTAATATTCATTCTCATAAAATAAGTATTCAATTTTATAAGATTAATACCAAATTAATATTCAATTTCATCAAATTAATTCCATATTAACATTTAATTTTATCAATTTAACATCTAATTTATCAAACTAACATCATTTTTTTGATTGAATTTTAAATTAATATTCAATTTTATCAAATCAATACCAAATGTTCATTCAATTTTATAAAATTAATATTCAATTTTTTGAATTTAATATTTAGTTTTATCAAATTAATATTATTTTTAAAATTAACATCAAATTAACATTTGTTTGATAGGAAACATTATATTTAATCCAATTAGCATTTAATTTAATTAATACTAAAAGAATGTTTTCTATTACTTTTATATGGCGAAGGATAAATTTGACAATTCATAAGAGAATAAACTATAATTATCAGTAATGTTAGACTGACCAAATTTAGAACCCAAATGACATGGTAGTTGACTTAGATTTTTTTGATTGGTGTCATGTTATTTAGGTCCCAATAAAAATTTTAAATAATCAACTGTCATGTTATTTAAATTTCAAATTTAATTCCGAAATTTAGTCGGCCTAATAATACTCATATAAATTATAGGCGCGTACAATGATATTTGAATGAAATATGACTTAAATCCTCCTGGTGTCAATGAAATTTACGAAAAAACAAA